ATTAGAGACCCTTACCAACTCTCTTGGTCCAAGGAGAAGTAGGGTGCAGACATTAAGATAGGCTAAGAGACACATTTATAAAATAGAATTCTTTATTGGCCAAGTGTGATTGGACACACAAGGAATTTGTCTTAGATGTATATGCTCTCTGTGTACATAAGGAGAATAAAATACTTTCATCAAGAATAAAAAGATACAACACTTAGTGATAGTCAAGATTACTAATAAGCTATCAAATTGTAATAGGAAACAGGTAAAAACAATATAAATTGAAAGATACAAGCAACATGGTTATAGTAATAAGTGGGAAGGGATAGTTACTAGTAAGGAAGAGAAGAATAATAGTAATACAATCTTAGTAAATAGTTTGACAGTTTTGTGGGAATTGATTGTTAAGCAGAGTGATGGCATTTGGGAAAAAAACTGTCCTTGTGTCTACCGGTAGTTGTTTTGGTGTGCAGTGCCCTATAGCATCTTTTTCCATTTCCAGATCTGAAGATCAGTCGGTTTGCAATAAGGCCGCAAGTAATACATTTCAGTCTATTTATGGGAAGATGCACTAATTCCTTGCCTTTGTCTACAGTGAAGAGAGAAGTGTTGGGTATGGAGATATGAAACCTCTGCAAAATCCACCAGAACCTGAGCTGTGAGAAAGAAATTAAGCAGGTATATGATAGAAATAATATCGGTTCAGTTCAGTGGTGAAATCCAATTTTTTTTATTACCGGTTCTGTGGGCATGGCTTGGTGAGCGTAGTGTGGCTTGGTGGGTGTGGCAGGGGAAGGATACTGCAAAATCTCCATTCCCACCCCACTCCAGGGGAAGGATACTGCAAAATCCCCATTTCCCTTCCCACTCCTGGGGGAAGGATATTGCAAAATATCCATTCCCACCTCATTCTAGGGCCAGCCAAAGGTGATATTTGCCGGTTCTCCGAACTACTTAAAATTTCCGCTACCAGTTCTCTGGACTGCTCAAAATTTCCGCTACCGATTCTCCAGAACCTATCAGAACCTGCTGGATTTCACCCCTGGTTCAGTTGCAAGGCCATGAAGTCACAACTGCAACGGTGGCCTTGAAGCACAATTTGTATCCTGATTCTGACAATTTAATTAACTTGTTCAAACAACTTCATTCAAGTTTGCAATACATAGACGGGTGTTGGAGAACTTAAGCTGAAATACAGCTCCTAGAGGATTAGCAAGATACACCATGAATTCTTGCCGTTTTACCAGAAATTCTTACCAGAAGAACCTAGGTAACTTCTTCCTCCGTCCCATAATAATATGAATTCAGGGGAAAAAAGGGCAAAAGGGACCCACTCAGAAATTGATATGTTCTCTCAAATCTACTCAAAATGGATGACTTTTTACACTGAAAGGTATGGATGCTTAGATGCAGTGGTGGTATTCAGCCGGTTAAATCCGGTTCGTGCGAACTGGTAGCGGCGACTGCGGGAGGCTCTGCCCACCCACCCGGATGTCATCATGTCCCATTTTTGATGCTCTGCGCATGCACGGAAGGTTCTGCACATGCACGGAGGTGGCATGTGCGAGTGAAGCAAGCGCACACGTGGGCACACTCTGTTGGATGCTTATCCTACAGTTGGGTAGATGATATATAGGAAGCTACGTTCTGTAACTTTAACTGCTACAAAGATGACTAATTGGCTGTGCTAAGCAGACATATAAAGGAAGGCAGGAAGTTCGTTCACTCCTGCTCTCACTTCTACTCTTGCTCCTGCTCCTGCTATTAGAAGGTTGAACTGCTGGAACGTACTTTGTCTGTATTACTGAAGAGAACTGGAATTGCAAGCAAATTATGCTTTGGGTTAAACCGTGATTGTTTGAAGAAGTTGTTTTGAGAAGCCAAGTTTGTTTTTATACTACAAGTAAAGACTGTTTATTTTTCTTTAAACGTTCAGAGTCTGTGACTGTCTGTGCGTTTTGCTAAGCAACGCTTTTATTCGCTGTCTGGTCCGTTGCACCACTTTGCAGAGGGCAGTTTTACCCTCAACATTGGTTATGGGCCCAGTGCCAGAGTGTGTGTACCAGTTAAAGCAATAAGAGAGTTGTGACACACATTATTGCTCCAGACATTCTGGTACGTATTTTAAATATCCTGGTGAGGATGGCACAAGGTCAAGCTCCCAATTTATCGCTGGTTACCCGGCTGGATGGCACCAACTACAAATCCTGGTCCACCAAGTGCCGTCTCCTGTTGCACAAAGAAGGGCTATGGGATGTAGTGCAGAATCCACCAGATGTGACCTCCTGGAATGCTGACGATGCTGAGGATGCCAGGACGATAGCCGAGTTCCAGAGGAAGAATGAGAGTGCATTGTGTATTATTGGTTTGTCTCTAGACGATACCCAGCTTGTTCATATCGAGGGTGAATAGTCTGCTGCAAAATGCTGGGGAAATTTGAAATGTCTTTATGTTCGTGACACTGTAGGGGCACAAATTAACATTACACGAAACTTGTTTCGCACACGACTCCTTAAGGGTGGTGACATGTTAACACACCTGAATTGCATAAAAAGCATTTTTCGAGAGCTACATAAGAAGGAGGTGGTTTTTTCCGAGCAACAACAGGTTTATATACTGTTATCATCGCTAGATGAGAGCTACGACGACGTAGTAACATCATTTGAAGTTCTCATACAGCAGGAACTAACTTTGGCCAATGTAACCTCACGACTACTAGAAGAGGCCAGAAGGAGAGAAGAAAGAAAACAACTAAGGGAAGAACCTGAGTCGATTAATGTAAATGTAAAGGCAAATAACCATGTATATGCTGTAAAACATTGTTTTAATTGTGGCAAGAAGGGTCATATAGCCAAGTTTTGCAGAAGGCTGAAACAAAAAACCATGGTTAATGATAAAAAACAATGTAATGTAGCTATGTCTGATAAGAAACCAGTTAACCACGATTCGTGGGTTATTGATAGCGGGGCGTCGCTATGCATTGTCAGAACACAAAACTATTTTGTGAAAATGTTGCCTAATAATAATAAGGTTTCTTTAGCAAATGGGTGGAAGCTAAAAGCATGTGGTGAGGGAATGGCAATATGTCCATATGTAAAAGAAAAAATGCATATGTTATATGTTCCAAACCTAAACTTTAATTTGCTGTCGGTTAGAGTATTGGTTAAGCTAGGATATACAGTAACGTTTAGAACCAATGATTGTTTAATTGAAAAAGGTGAAACCAAGATTATTGGAAAACTGAAAGATGGTTTATATGTATTATCTAGTAACCATGTTACAAATGTTGTATACTCAAATGTCAAACCACATGATGAATGTGTTCACTTGCTTCACAGACGTATGGGGCATATCAATTTTAAGATGTTACAGAAAACTGTAAAATTAGTTGATGGGTTGAAGCAGAAACCATGTAACCAGTATTTAAATTGCAATTACCCTCAACACACTCACATTTGCGAACCGGTGAATACCACCCCTGCTTAGATGGTATTATAAGGAATAGTGAACATAGGTTTGGGTGTTGTGGGGTTTTTTGAGTGAACAGACAGGGGTGCAATTGTTTCTATTGAGGCTTGCATGTGCCACAGAAAAAATAATTTCCAAACATTTGTTTGTTGTTGCCTAGCTGGCAGTTAACTTGACAGAAGTAGGAAAACAAGTGTTATTGATTTATTAATTTATTATCTGCATTGAGGATTTTACAGAAGGAAAGGGAGGGAGGGAGGGAGGGAGGGAGGGAGGGAGGGAGGGAGGAAGGAAGGAAGGAAGGAAGGAAGGAAGGAAGGAAGGAAGGAAGGAAAATCCATCTGGTTCAGTTCCAAGTTGGGAGAAAGACACTGGAAACATGGAGGCTGATTGGAAAGATGGTTTATTGATGAAGCAGAACCATATGTGATTCTGGTGCAGCTGACAAAATGGAGTTGAGAGGGGGTGGGTTTTTATACCTTCTTTGGGCTTTATATTTGAGCTTCCTGTTCCTGTGCAAGAACATGTCCTTTAATATTCTATTGGCTGTTGTCAGATTCCTATGGGGTCATGTAGGGGTCATAACTGGCTCTATAGGCTAAAGAGGAAATGCAAATCCTAGGTGTTTGTCTGAGCTAATCTTGTCAGCCTTTTGTTTGTTGCTTATCTGGAGTATCCGTCTGACCCAGTCTTTCTGAATGGATTAGCAAATCTGTGTTTCTAAAAGCTGGCCTCCTCAGTTTCTGCTTGGGGCAGGGGAACTGGAGCTGGTTTCTGAATAGGCTGGCTTAATCTTTCTTAATGGGCACAGAATATCTGCTGGGGGCTGTTAAGAAGGACTGAGTCTGCTTTCTGACTTTTAAGAGCATGTTTCTCCATTTCTCCTTTAGGGAAATACTGTATAATATTCTGCCTTTTTAATATTTCTCAAAATATTTCATTCTTCTGGGGGGGGTAGGTGCTGACTTTCGAAGGAAGGAAGGAAGGAAGGAAGGAAGGAAGGAAGGAAGGAAGGAAGGAAGGAAAGGGGAGGGATGGAAAGAAGGAAGGATGGAAAGAGGAAGGAAGGGAAGAGGAGGGAGGGAGGAAAGGAAGGAGGGAGGAAGAAAGGAAGAGAAGGAGGGGAGGAGGAAGGAAGGAGGGAGAGAGAGAGAGGGAAAGAAGGAAGGATAGATGGAAGGAGGAAAGAGGAAGGGAAGAGGAAGGAGGAAGAAACGAAGAGGAGGAAGGAAGGAAAGGGAGGAAGGGAGGACAGGAGGGAGATAGGGAGGAGGAAGGAGGGAGGGAGGGAAGGTAATAGGAAAGGGAGGAAAGAGAAAGGAAGGAAGGAAGAGAATGAGAGAGGAAGAGGAAGAGGAAGGAATGAAGGAAATAAGAATGAAGAAAGAGGGAGAAAAGGAAAGAAGGAAAGAAGAAAGGAGGGAGGGAGGAAGAAAGGAAGGAGGGAGGGAGGGAGGAAGAAAGAAAAAGAATGAGGGAGGGAAGGAGGAATGAAGGAAGGGAGGGAGGGAGAGAGGAGGAAGGGAGGGAAGGAAGGAAAGTAGGAAAGTGAAGAAAGAAGGAAGAAAGGAAAGAAGGAAGGAGTGATGAAGACAGGAAGAAAATGAGGGAGGGAGCGAAGGAGGAAGGAAGGAAGGAAAGAAAAAAGGATGGAAAGAGGGAGGAAAGGAAAGAAGGAAGGAAATGCAAGAGAAGAAAGCACAAGAGAAAAGGAAGAAAAGTTACGAAAGGCAACCGCTTCCCCTCTCTTTAAGAGAGATAAACCACCTAATCCTCACAACCACTATTCACTTCCTGATGCCAAACCTGGAAGGTCTCCATTCCACGTGGAGCATCTCCAGCCAAACGAGCCGAGTCAAAAAAAAAAAAAAAAAAACCCAAAATCAACCCCTCCCACAACCTTAAATTTTTAGGCCGAAGCCTACGCAGATAGAAAGGCAGGCCTGGAACTAGCTGGAGGAGAAAGAGTTGTTACTACTGGCCTTTTACTAGCTGGAGAAGAAACAGCTTTTCCTACTTGTCCTTTTTACTCTACAACTTACTCTCTTCCCTTGCTCGGCCTTTCTTTCTTTTTCCTTTGAGTCGACCTAAATGATCCCATCTTCCTGTTGTTTTTAGCCCAGGGACCAGCCAGTTTTGCAGGAAAGGCAAGGTGAGCAAAAATAATGTTGAATATCATCAATATTGCAGTTGTGGCTGTGTGTTGTTTTCTGCCCTGCTCTTTAAAATCTCAGGCCTGGAAAGGCCCAAAGCTGGATTAAATTTGGTTACGACATACACAGGAACCATGAGGAAAAAATGTTTTATTTATCTGTATCCCGCCTTTATTATTTTTGGGAAACCACTTAAGGCAATGAACACTATCCAAGACGCCTTCCTCCTATTTTCCCTCACAATAACAACAACCCTGTGAGGTGGATTGGACGGAGACAAACTTAGACTGGTCTTTCATGGCCAAGGCAGAACTTGAACTCGTAGCCCGCTTCTTTCATGGCTAAGGCAGGACTTGAACTCATAGCCCGCTTCTGTCATGGCCAAGGCAGGACTTGAACTCGTAGCCCCCCACTTTCTAGCCTGATGCCTTCGCCGTTTTACAGCAAAAGGTGGCTGGAAGGACTGAAATTCAACATTTCGGCTTTTCATTTAAAAGAGAATTTTGACAAAATGGTGGACTGTTAAGATACGACAACAGAAAAAGAAAGAATGTGATAAAGGTACTTCACATCTAAGTTGGAAATGTGTAAAAAAAACATGAAAGGGTCATTTTATCATGCTGGGTGGACTCATGAAAAGGCCTTGGGAAATTTGGGTTTCAAATCCACACAGTGAGATAAAAGAATTTTAACAATTATTTTTTAAAACAGTTTTGTATTTAAAAAACAACATAAAAAACAACCACAAATATATCAAAACAAAACAAAACACAGCAAAGAATGCATACCATCTAAGGTCATTTTATAGATTTCTGTATCGGCATATGTATTTTGCTTTTGTAGTTCTCTATTCTATGATATTTATTTACTTCTCGATAGTAGTATAATAACGTTACATCAACGTATATATTTGTTGTGGAATGATGAGACCAAACAACATTCCTGGGTCAGCCAGAGACAGTTTTATTGCGCAAGGTTCAGAGCCAGTTTTGTACCTGAAGCTTTGAACAAAGAAAGAACTCTGATACAATGGTTTTTATACATTTCTAAGACAAAGGATTCAGTGAGATCATACATTTTCCATATATGGTTAACATGAGATCATACATCCGATTTTCCCTATATGGTTACATACATTGGATAATATGTTCATCTAATTACTTAAACCATTAATTTTAGTTTATAAAATTATCTTAGCCACACAACTTTTCTTAAGTCCTTGTAGTTGTTAATGGGAGAGTTACTGCTGTCCTTGGGTAAGTTTATTGGATTAAGTCACTCTTTGTAGCATATAGGTCTTTGTCTCATTCATAGTGAGGTCACTCAGATGTTTTCCATATGGCGGTCCTTCTGTGACATCTAGGTTTCCTCAGAAGATATATTACCACTTAATGGGGTTTAACTGTTTGTTAATATAATCTCCAACAAGCACTTTCCTCTCTTATAATAATGTGAATAGAGAGGTTCTCTCAGAGTTCATGTATCTAAGCACGTCTTCCCCCTATAACAATGTGAATAGAGAGGGTCCTCCAGAGCCCATATATCTGACTCTGTATGATTCCTTTCTTTTATCCACATTATTCCCCGCTTTGAAAGTTTTTCCATGCAGAAACTTTCACCATTCCTTACATGTTCAACTCTTTAGTAAATATTATTCCATTCCTTTGGATAAACAAAGCTAACATATAATATCTAACAAAATATGACAAATCTAGGCAAGAGATAGGTATTCCTTGATCTTCACTCTATTAATCCTTGGAGGTACTCCCTCCATTCTTTTCCAGACTCCATTTCTACATATGTGTCTGTTTCAGAGTCTTTATCTTCAAGAAAGCGGTCTGTCAAAACTAATTCCTTCTCAGTCTGTATCTCTTTCATTGCTCTGATAGATAGCTGTTTCAGCACAGGGATTGCACAAGGAATAAAAGCTAAGCCTGCCACAGCCATATCAACAAGAATAACATTTGTTTAATCCAGCAGGATCCAGGCAACCAAGAAAACCACCTGTCAGTTGTTTGTAACCTCTGACTTATCTTGGATGCCCTATCCTGCAAATCCTTGGCAACTTCCCTGACCACACCTGATTTATTCATATAGAAACAACAATCTTCTCCCAGAAATACACACATACCTCCTCTCTCTGCGGTTAGGAGGTCTGAAGCACGTTGATTTTGTAGGACCACTGCTGCCAATGAATCTATCTGGTCTTGGACTTCTACCAGGGTTCAAGCAATTTGGTTCAGGCTTTCTTGGAGCTCCTCTGATAATTGCTGAAACTGTATTACTGAGTGTGTCACTCCACCTACACCTGTTCCAACTGTAGTTCCTATCCCCATGATTACTAATAGTGGGACTAGGATTGGTGCCCGTTTCTGAACATGTCCCATGAGAGGAACAGGGATGGTATGTTCTCCACTGACAACACCTATTTTAGGAAAAAGGTGTACTAGTGTGCATGTTCCGGTCCAATTTGTTGGCAAACATAAATACGCATCCTTCCCGCAGAAGAAGAAAACTCCTTTTTCCCTTACACATACGCCTATGTTCATGGAGAAAGCATGGGTCCGATGGTTCTTTTCATTAGTCCAGACCCTCAAGTCCCTGCCACGAACATTCCAGCAAGCGGCTGTAATGGGACTTCTAGTGAAGGGTCCTTTTGCTTATCTCTGAGGATTGGGCCTTCAAAAAGATACCAGGAGGTAGTATTCCCAGGGGGGAAGAAGAAACATAAACCTGTGTTGGACCTAATGGAGAGCCAGATAGTGAAGCGAGGGGGCTGGAACAGACTGGGGCACTTTTCCTTGTATACATTCCAGGACCTCTTCCATCCTCCCCATCTTGTGATGATGGTAGTTGGTGGTGATGAGAAACTGAGTGGTGTGCAGAAGGAAAAAGATCTTTGGTTAGTTTTACATCCCTAAGGTTCATTCTAGGACCAAGGTACACTTCTGATGGACATTGTTCTTTTGTCAGGGATCCTATAGGCCTACCAGGTTTCTGATGTCTCTTTACACACAGGGAAGGTGACCCTATGATTTAACAAGGTTTCGACCCAATTCCAGTATCCCTGATATGCAATCTCCTCTTTTCAATTGTTGTAGGGGTCCGTTCTCCTTTTCTATTCCTCCCTTTACTGGGATTGTCAAACTCTTAACCTTAGGTCTAGGGGTTGGTTTAGGAATAAGGTACCCACTCCACCTTCTGATGCCACGTTGTTGGCGGGAGTGGACTTGACCCAAAGTGTCCCCATTCAGTGTCCTGATGCTGCTAGGTCCCCTGGGATTCTTGACATCTTCAAATCCTTCCGCAGAGACAAGGGGAATTTCTTGGACACTGACGCAACATTGGGAACTACTGTTCAAGATAGTATCACTCACTAGACCTTTTAGCTAATAGTACCCAAAGCCATAAATAAATCATAATGACCTAATTCCTAAACCCACAAGGCCTTAAGAGCGCAAGATCCATAGTTTATAAATTCACCACGTCAGGAAGAGGGTTAGGGGTATGCGTAACTTGGGGTAGGGCGAATATCAGTCGTATTAAAACAATACCAACAGAAGGGCTAAAGTAGCTGTTGCCCAGAGTCCCCACACCCAATCTTCCTCTAGCATGAGTGTCTTTAAGTAGTGCTCACTGGATTCTATCACAGTTAATGGATTTTACATTACAAATTACAATCATGGAATGTTGTCTTCCTCCGTTCCAAGCTTCGGCCGTGCGCGGGGAACCAGCTTCCGGGGTGGTTCAGCAAGGCTGACGATCACCACCGTGCGTTGAGAGTCCGTTGCTGGTAGGACTCAGCAGGGTGTATTCTTCTTGAACTTCAACATCAATGGCCTGTCAGTTTTTATTACCTGGTATGTGACTGGATCACTCTGGTCTGCGGGCTTCAGTCTCGTCCAGTGGATCCAGGATCTTCCTTCTAAGGTCTTAAAAGCACAATTACAAAACCAATACATCTGGGAGAGTGTGCAAAGGAATCTGATCAGTTGTAGTCCTCTTCAGTTGGGAAACAGCATAGGCAACCACTCAATCCTAAGAAAGAAAAAAATACAAAAATAGTCCAGATGATGAAGAACGCTATTCCCACTGGTTACTGCCCACCAGTCCATTGGGTTCTTTGGATCATCAACTTCAATGGATCTCCTTGGTGAGATTCCACCTTCCACTCCTTTGGGGCTGGCCCGGGCCCTTTCACTTGAGGTTTAACTTCCTTCCAGCTCCGGATCAACATCCAGTAATCGTGGTGGAATTTATGGACTGGAAACTTCAAAGGTGGTGTTTGGGCTAATAGTCCTTGTTTCCTAAGAACTTCAAAATATCTGGACAGTTTATACACATATTGTTTCAATACTTTGTCTCTGGTTTCCAGGGAATCAATGCATATGCTTCCTGTAGTGAAAACTACTTCAAACAGTTCATATGATGATAATCTTTCTAGGTTGGGTATAATAAAACTCTTGACACCACTGTTGCTGTAGCATTACTGCAGGGAAAAGCTTCAACCCACCCTGTGAGGTGGTCCACTATGACCAATAAATATTTTACTCTCCCCACTTTTGGTAATTCTGTAAAATCCACTTGAATACATTGAAATGGTCTTAAAGCTGGTGGTCTCCCACCCATCTGTTGTTTCCTGACAGCTTGTTCATTCACCTTTTTTCAAATCAAACATTTGTTTATAATTGATGTTACTAAAGGATATATCCCAATACAACCATAGCATTTTAAAAGTTCATCTACAATAGCGTGAATTCCCCAATGACTCCACCCATATTTTGCCAAATGAATGCACTATCCCAAATGCATACTTGGAATCTGCCTATTTTTCCTTCCAGATGCATAGAGCACCCCCCCTTTTTTAAAAAATTTGATTTATGTGCCGCCCTTCTCTGGAGACTCAGGGTTACAATGCGTTAAGCAATAGCCTTCATACTTTTGTATATTTTACAAAGTCAGCTTATTGCCCCCACAAACTGGGTCCTCAATTTACCTA